ATCAGTCAGGTCTCTATTTCAGAACAAATCACTCCACAGAATTAAATCCCAAGCAGAAGGGTTAATGGGGTAGCTGTGAGTCAGGGCACACAGGGGTCACACACTCGGGTAGGACATTCTAGCTTGTCTCTGTCCTCACCCTCTCTGAGATAGTGTCAATCATCTGGAAACACATCTCCAGAGCTGGCTGCTTCATGGTAAGGAGAGACTGTGACCAGAGCTTATGTCTGGTATCTTTGCAGGAGAGCTCTGTTAATATCCCTGACAGGATCTCTTTATCCTGTGCCTTCCTAATCTGCAAGTCAACAGGAAAAGAGAGGGAATTCAGTGAGCTAAATTGAGTACCTGCTGTGTGTGATTGATACTGGCTTCACTTTGTAAAGTTACCTCTTTGTTTTATCAAAACTTCGTGTTTTCTTTTGCTTTGCTTTGTTTTTCAAAAGGAGGGGGGAAACAATTTTGTTACTGCCATTCTGGGAGGGACTTTTCTATCCTAAAGCACCCTGGTATCCAGCCCTCCCTCCTCATGAATCCTGCCCTTTCCCTATGCCCACTGCTCCCAAACCTTCCCTGCACATTTAGATGTAGGAGTCTTACACCAATTGGGATATTTTCAGTAGTTGCTTCTGCAGTCACTAAAGTCTCTTTTCAGTGCTTGCTGACTTTATGCTGGGAAAACATGGTTTCTCTTGACATGCTGCCTGAAATAAGAACTTCTGGCTCCTCAAAGGAAACCAGCACTTCTGACAGAAGTTGAAAAGAGGACAAGTTGTTTTGAATTGTAAAGGTAACATTGAAAAACAAAGGGAGGTTGAAGGCTCCTGGTTCTTTTTTTTTTTTTTTTTCATTTACAGTCCTTCTGTACCCATGGTACTACAGTCTGTAATTAAATGTAAAGTTCTGTATATATAGAAAGCAGTGACATTATTTACTGACCCTTTCTGGCATTAAGCTTCTTGAACTCATGCCAAAGCATTGTATTGTGCAGCACAATTGTGCTCCCACCATTCAGTATTTTGGCTTGGTCTGAAGTGCACTGACAGAGACAGGCAGTTAATGCAAAGCTCTAAGGAACAAATTTAGTTTCATCATTCTGGATAATATTAAAAGTGAGAACAGAGTAATTTAGGAAACAGTGTGGCTTCACAAGAGAGAAGCTCCCGAGAGCTGCTGCAGCACACTGTCTCAGCACTACAGGCAGTTTATAAAACAGAGACTTATGCAACATAAAACCATTTGGATGTTGAGTTCAAATGCCTCAAAATTGGAGACATCTCAGTTGCTGCCAGCTACTTCTATCTATCGAATATTAGGGGCTTATTTGAGACTGTAGTCTAGGTGTGTATTTTGTGTCTCCCCAAGGATGTAGGGCATAATGGTCAACTGTGTCTTGCTTTTTGTGAGAAAAACATTTGTCCCAGCTGTTCAGACATTGTTTTGAAATAGGAGGATTTTGGTGGTCCAGCAGCAAGGGCTGGTATTTTAAATGGAACATTCTTGTTCAGTGTATAAAGAACTGCAGTGCAGCAAGGACAGGAAAAAGCCTAGTGACTCCTCTGCATGCTGGAGAGAAGGCAAACTGGGTCATAAGGAACAGTATCAGAGGAATAGAGGAACAAAATGAGGAAGGGAAAAGAAAGAGACTAAATCAGTATGAGGGAAGAAGAAACACAGACTCATGAAGGGAGGAACTCTGACCATGCTCCACAGGGACCTCTGGCAGCACTCGCACCTGCCCAGGAATGAGCTCTATGGACAAACACGAGTGTCAGCCTCAGGCAAAGGAGCCTGGCCCTGCGAGCTCCCACTAGCACAGGATCCTGGCTTCTGCCTTTCTTTCAGGCAGATGCTACCCCACAAAAAATCAAAACCGGTCCCTGATTCACTGATTATTTTGAGTATTTCTTTCCCTTCCTCTGACCTCTTCATTTCAGCATCACACAGAACATTTCCCTTCCACAGAGGTGACTCTTGTAGGAAAAATCTCTGAGGAGGATGGCTGGCATTGCTTCCTGTGGCAGAGCTGCCTCTGGAGTAAGAGAAAAAGCAAACTGATAGTACATACATAATTTTACTTCCCTTGAACTTGTCGTTCTGTATTCTTGGAACTCTATTTTTTTCTCCCGTTTTTCTTCCTGGTGACAGCGTGAACGAAGTTATTCACATCTTTCTTTTAGCTGGGTATCTTAGGAAACTGACTTAAAAGGGACGGCGGCATAAATACAGCACGCACGGAATATTCTCCCTTCCTGTTCAGAAGCTCAGGGGGGAAAAAAATAATAAAAAAAGGCAGGAATAAACACCTGACCTCTCCAGTGGCAGCGCTGGGGCCGGGAGCGGCGCCGGGACAGAGTTTCGCGGGGCAGGGTGACCCCTGCCGGGGGCGCTTTGTGTTGGAATTCCAGGGAAAATCCCAGGGCAGGAGCAGCAAGCTGCACTCAAGCCTGAGTGCTCAGAGGAGCTTGACTACGCGTTACAGCATCGTGCACCGACCATTTCTTCATCGTGCAAGCAGGAGGCTCCAAAAGGCCTCCCCACACACATTACGGGAGGTAAGGGCTCGCTGCCCCTCACAGGGCGTCCGTGGTTTCGAGCAGGGACTGCGGGCTTGTCCCCAGACAGCAGGGGAAGGAATCCTCTGGCTGCAGCAGTGATGCTGATGCGCTCAAACGTCTGTAGCCCTGACTCTGTTCACCTGCTTGCTCTGCCAGTTCGAGTTCAGTCTCAGAAAGCTGGCTGCCCTCTGGTAAAGATCAAGGGATTAAATTCAGGCAAATTACTCCTATGGAAACAGGTCCATGATGGTTATGTCTGAGAAGGGCAAGCCCTGGCTGGGTTGACCTCCAGAGATGCTTCTCCTCAAGTTACCCTTGCCTAGACTTGTGTGTCTCTCTCCATGCATGGCTAGCAGGAGAAATTGCCACTGACAGGGAGACCAGTGCTCTCCTCCACAGTTGCTGTGGTGTGTGGGCTTCCATTGCTTTGCTGGTGCCTCTTCAACCTGTCAAGGGACAGGGAGTAGTGCAAATGTGACTGTGACACAAGTCCACGGAGCTTAGTCATTGGAGCTGTTGAACTGTGCTCCAAGGGTTTTGGTAAGAGATCCAGCAGTCAAACAGGAGGAAATCTAATACTCGAAGGCATTTTAAAAACAGACACCTGGCACCTATTTGCTGTCCTGCTTTTTTTAAGCTGTTAGCCATGGCGAGGAGCCCTGCAGTTGTCAGCTACATCTCAGTGTAAGTTTATACACAGGAATATTCACAATGTACTGTTCCTTTGAACTAAGTCAAAACAGCAAGCTGTTTCTTTGCTCAGAAATGTAAGTTAGTTCTCCCTGCTTAGCTATTCTTTTAAGCATCAAGAGAGAAGTCCAACATCCACTGAAAGTAATGGAAAGACATGGATGTTTTCAGTGGGAGTTAGATCAGTGTTCAGTTAAATACACAATTCAATAAGGCAGGCTTTAACTGCTTCTCTTATTAATAACACAGAAATTAGTTTACTCAACAGAGACATTTGGTCTTTATTTTAAAATTATTTCTAAATCCAGAAAATATTTAAACTGTGTGCCCAGCCAAGAGTTTGTATCTTCTAATGCAGGAAGAGGCTCAGAAGCTTATTGTATGAAAAAGCATGAAACTGTGGGTTTCAGCAGATCCTCCTAATAAAGGCAATAATTAAAGTTGTTGTGAAGATTGTAAAAGGAGAAATACATGTGGGGTTTTTTTCTGAAGTTGCCTTCCACACAGTGTTCAGCCTCTTCCAAAAAGCATCCTAGAAAGATTCAGAATGTTACTCCCCCTGGTCTAAGGGGGTCAGGCAGACAACACAACAACCCCTTCATAAAGCATGTACCAGGCTACCTACCTTTAACCCTGCCCCAATAGATGCACGTGGAAAACTTACCTGCTCTGGGCTTAAGTCCTTGGATGTGCACAGGATGAAGAATTGAGTGTTTCACTTCTGAAACAGATTTGTGCCCTCCCCAGGTAAAGCTGACAAGCTAGACAACATCACTTCTCAGCCCACCAGCTGATCTACACCATGCCCCAGTTTCACCTCAAGTCTTTGATTCTAGGAAGTTTATCTCAGGTAGCCTGCTATTAGTCCTACACTTCTCATTGCTTTTTCCAAGGTATCTTTGCTGAATAGTTGATTTGAGAGATTAACAATCACGTGTGACACACAGATGAGCCAGACAGAACCATGAGTGGTCCTGCTACAAAAACACACTTCTACTGATGCTGTGCTTTTCTCTCTGTATCATCAGGAGTTTATGGGCTTTGTGCTGCAGGGAGTTAAAATTCTTGCCCAGGAAATAATGGAAAAAACAGCATTGGCTGCAAACAGACAGTCATTTGCCCTTCTGAAACCATGACAAGGCACTATTAGCACTTGAGTAACTTCATTGCCAGCACAGGCAGATAACTCAGTGCAACAGTCTGAATGGATGTGTGTATATGCATACAACAGTTTTTATTCCATACCTGGCTAGATAACCTTAGCTAAATGTACCTAAGAAACAAAATTCAAGGAACAGCTTGGGTTAACTGTGTAGAGAGAATGTATCCTCAGGTCTCTTACTTTTCCTATTTGTCAGGTTGTTGGAAAGGTTTGAACCAGCTAAGTTCCTCTATTTTCTAAGGGGTTTTTTCTCATTTTCCTGTTTCTCCATTGTTCTTTCCAGGCAACACAGGGTGATTTTCAGGTTTTCTTCTCTATTGCTAATACTTTTTTTTTTGCAAAACATGCCAACTGGACCAGGCCTGGAGGTGGGCTGAAAGAGTAGGCTCTATGTAATGGGCTGCCTTTCTCATGTTCTCAGGTAGGAACCCAGCTGCTTAGGAAACGAGATGATCTCTTGCTCCTCCCCTTAGTGATTTAGTACAAGTCTGTCAAGAGAGGCGAAAGCAGGAAAGCTTTTTTTTATTCCTAAGAGTGATAGGAGAACTGTCACAAAGCTGTAAAAATCGGGGCTATCTTTTAATCTGTTCTGCAGTGTCTGGCCTGTGATTTGAGAGAAGAGTGGTCCTGTGCTGCAGCTGGATTTCCTTGGCTGGGAAAGTGGAAAGGAAGAATGTGTCACCTGTAGCTGAAGGTAAGAAAGTAAAAAGCCAGGCCAGGAGCAGAGGTGAGCATGGTGTGAGATTGGTGAGGAAGGGAGGTGGGCAAAGCCAGTGGCCCAAATGGAAGAGGGCATGGACCAGGAGGTGATGGCAGGACTGATAGCAGGGAGACTGCAAATGGTGTAATTGCTGTACTTGTTTTTTGGAAGAGCTGGCTGTAGTAAATGTTTTATGCCCATTCAAGGTAGGGCATAGAGGAGTCCAAAGTCAAGAGACTGACCAGACATACAACTCTGGAATAGAAAGAGTAATCTCCTTGCAACTCAAGTGTTCTCTGTACATTTCAGCCCATTAGTTGTTTTCTGCATTTTAATTTTGGTACCTGTTCTGTTTTTCCCTCATATGCTCAATGCTTGTCAAATAGATGTTCTTGGGGCTTGTTGTCACCTTACTGTCTGAAGGTCTTCCCTCTCTGCCAGTCTCTCTGCACAGTAAGTTAAAATTCTTAGGGTCCCACCGTGTTTTTCTACTGCTCCAGATCCCTGCTGGTCCCAGCTTTTTCCCTGTGTGCTCCTGCTTTTGTGTCTTCTTGTGTGTATACAATGTGATTCCAACCTCCTGATCCCTGGGAACAGGGAATCTTTTTATGGAGCCATTAAAGAAGTTGGATAAATTTAATAATATAGTAATAGTGTAAGTTAAATTTGATAGACTCATGATAATGTGTGTGTGCTTGAATTTAGTGACTGGCTCATTACTAATTTGCCTCTTCCTGGTTCTTCTCACCTGTTTCTTCTAATTAGTGTGTTGTTACACACAGATTAGATACCTTTTCCCAGGTGAGACAGGTAGCAGCAAGACTCAGCTGCGCCTCATGATAAATCATTTACTTATGCCCTCAAAAAAGACATTTGCAGGGAACAGAGGAGCTCTTTATGTTTGCAAGACAGACCCAGATTGATTCATTGATGCAGCTGTAAGTTACCAAGACTCAGTGACAGTGTCCCCCTCAGTACAATTGTTTGTTCTGTCTACTGCAGTTATTTCCTTCAGCAGCAGCCCTGGCTCAGCATCTAACGGTGAGGGCTGAGGCTGTCTGTACCTCCCTGGCTTTCAAAACCTGGGCAGTCCTTTTCAGTCTGTTTCCTTGTGGTTTGGTGAGCAGTTTCTGCGGGGGAAAAATTATAATAATGTGTTGTGGCATTTTGTTCAGTTCCTCTTCCCTAACCTAGAACAAAACAACAAAATGCACAATGCTCTGTAATGAGGGATGAAAGCAGGTATTTGTCAAACACATACAGCAGTTCTTTCTGTCTTTCTACCCCAAATGTGATCAGAAGATTACTCCAGTTATTACTGAATTTAGTCAATTTGTTCTGGTGTCCATGGACTGTGAATCTTTTGCTATAGGAACAAAAAAACACTGCTCCAGAAGTTTCCTCTCTTGTGAATATTTTTAGAGTAATCTTCCAGGCTTTCAGCAAAAAACCCTGGACTTGCAACATCTCTGAGATGAATACAAGACCTGCTGTACTGCAGTTAATCGTATTTTGGTAGTAGGTTGTACATTAACCATCTGCATTAGCTTGATTTATAAAAAAGTAGATGGTTTCGGGTGATAAAGCAAACACAGGAAAAATACACAGCAGAATTAGATGACCTGTTTCTTTGCTTCAGCAGAAGGCTTCATCTCCTTCACTGCAAAATCACCCACTTGCTCATTTCCAAATTTTTTTCCAGCCTAGCTGGGGGTTTCTTCAGTGTCTTTGCCAGGGCATCTCTCTGTGGAGACATTAAAAGCCTTCAGCAGGTTATATTTTTTTGTTGGGGTGACACTTTGCTGCTTGCCTTCTGCCTTTTTTTTTTTTTCATGCATGGAGGTGATGGACTCCAATACCAGCAAAAGCCTAGAAGTAATGATGTGCTAATAACCTCAGTGCTCACTCACGAGGGAGTGTTGTCTGCAGTGAGAATTCCCCTTTGCTGGTGAGTGATGTGTCTGTGCAGCTTGCAATGTTGCTGTACATCCAGTAGACGTGGGGATTTGGTAATGAGGTCCTGAGGATTTAGAGATGTTACTTTATCACTGCTGAAGAGATTTAAGAATGGTTTTGTTGAAGCTTAGTAATCATAACACTGGTCTCTGCTGCATACAAATGAGCAGCCCAATCCTACAGCCCTGCTGCTGAGGGCAGCACTTAGTCCTGAAAGATATGGTGATTATGTGATTAGCCAGGAGGCTGAATTCTGCCATTTTCTATGTGAGGTTTAGCAGTGTTAAACCCACACCGAGGACATAGGGTTGAGGTAATCACTATCTTCTTACAAGTTTCCTGAGTTATCTGCTCCTCAGCCTTTTATTGCCATAAATAACTCTAGAAGTCAGGCCTCACTGCCAGAAGTGTTCAGCGCTGCAAATAGTAGCGAAGATGACTCATGAAGTGAGATGAAGGTGGAGCATGAATCAGTAGGAAGAAAACTGATATACAAAGGAGGCATTCTGAATGCAGATGACACAAAAAGTCTGAACAAAGCAGTGTTCAATCATAATAAAAATGAATCAAAAGGGGTTTAAAAAGAAAATAGAAACTCTTCTTTTTAATGAGAAAGACCATTCCAGTGAAAGCACAAAGGTGTTGCACACTGACCATGTTATTCCTTACCCAAGACAAACTGTAGACTGCATAGAAAGAGATGGTTGGAAAATTCTTCCCAATATGTCCAAACAAAGCAGAGTATTCAGCAAGCAGGTTGCTTTCCAGATTGTTCTGTGTCTATACAAGCTAAGAAAAGAACTTGTCTTTGAGCTAAACAGTTTTGGAGATCAAGAGTCCTCGTAGCTTCAATGAACCCACACTGAAAGCTAACAGCAAAAGAAGCACTAAAATAACCTGAGCACATTCCTTGTAAATGATAACTCATGATAAGGAGATAAAATTCCCACAGACCGTTCCATTTGAAATGACAGCTTTTGGTGCTTTTGCTTACTCTCCAAAAGCTTGCACATGTAGGAGTGCCTTTAAAAGTAGACTTGGAAAAAAGGTACCTGATAAATGACATCCTACAGCTGTTAGTGCACTAAGGCATCCTGTTCTGCCTGTAATTCAACCCCTGCCACTTCTGGGAGAAGGGGGGTCTATTAAGAGTTTGATGTTACTCCTCAGAGGTGAGAATTAAACATTTTCACGTTTGACATCACAATGATACTTTAGGCATTAGAAAAGGGTTCCTTGTTGAGGGGTGGGTAGGCATTGGACCAGGCACTCCAGGGAAGTGGTCATGGCACTAGGCCAGTCAAGGTTCAAGAAGTATCTGAATGCACTTAGTCATGTGGTCCAGTTTTTGGTACTCCTACAAAAAGCAGGAAGTTTGACTCAATGATTTTTATGGATCTCTTCCAACTTGAGGTATCCCATGATAAACAATCTCTTTGAAGCAATAAAGGGTTAAAGATGTTCCCCCTGCCCCCAACCTCCAGCAGGTGCTAAAATGTAATAATGGGAAGAAGATTAGATATCTGTGTCTTAGTTAAAAGCTCTGTCTCTGCTAGCATTTTTAGTAAGAACCACTGTGAAAATTGTAGAGGTTGATTTATCCTCTATACATGGTGTGTATGGCTCGGCTTTGTTATGCTAGATCCATGAAATGTTGCACTCAAAGGTGCTGCTCCCTTAGAGCAGTAATGCTTAGAAAAAAAGTATAACAAGGCATCATAACCTGTACTGCTTTGAGTTGCTTTGTTCAGGATAAAGTAAGGGATGGCGAGAAGACCAAAGCTTCTAATGTGGCTGTTTCACAGTGTGGGCTGTAGCAGGAAATCTGGAGAAGATGGGTAATGCTGCCAAGGCTTAAGGAATGCAGATACTTACATGAAGCAGAACTATGCACTGTGGGATTCACATTCTCTGAACCGGAGAGAAGCAGAGAAGAGAATTACCAAACAATTCTTATCTCATTTGCTGCGCCTGTGTTTGTGCACAAGTGGATTGCATTATGGAAGACTGTTTACCTGAAGGGATTTGGTAATTGGATTCTGGTGTGAGTGTTTTGTTTTCTTGACCAATCTCTGCAAGCTGTGTCCTGATGGTCAGTCATGAGATTCTGTTGAGTGCTTGTGCAGTGTCAGTTTAGATGTAGTGTAATATAGTATAGTATAATAAGGTAAACATTAATTAGCCTTCTGATATCATGGAATCAGATGCATCATTCTTCCCAGATGTTGGGGTTGCCTTGCTTTTCCAATAATGCACAGGAAGGGAAAGCTCTAGCAAGGTTCTCTGCCCAATATTACTGTAAAAATAATCTCAAACCTGGTTGTACTAATCTTTTATAGTGTTGTGAGGGCTGTGGATTCATTTCTTCATTGAAGGTAGTGCTAGGACTGAAATTTGGCATAAATTTATGGTTATTCCTGGTCAGTTCCAAAGTTTCAGATGTGAATTTACCTGTGTGTTAATGAGCAAAATTCAGAGCTGCATGTTGTAGTTTGCAATATGTCCAGGTACTACACCTTTTCTACTGCGTCTGTGTTTGATGCATTTAATCTGTCTATTCAGAGGAAATCTGCTGGATTTGGGCTTTAATAGAGTAAGTTGTTCTCAAGGAAGGTAGCACAGGCTGAGTTTTCTATTGCTACTAAGGGAGGGCTAATAGTTAACAGCTAGTGACAGATTTATGTTTTCACTTGTAGGCTACCCAGCAGTGGGCCCAGCTCAAACATAAAGTATCGCTTGGAAAATTTGGCTTTGTTAGTGAAAAATATGAAGTTCATTTTAAAAGCTGTACTCATTTTAAGACTAAAAAAAGTGCTTTCTTCCTGTTGGGAGAAGAGAAATTCTCTAAGGAGAAATAGCAAAGAGTTTCTGTCAATAAAAGAGTCTGTGTAATTTAATACCAGGCAGCTTTTAATACAATAGGAGAAAAAGAGCAGACACTTGCCTCTGTTATGAAGGGGAAAAATATAAAAACCTGCCTGCAGTATGTTACCTAAATTTAGCCACAGAGGGGCCAATCCTCTTGGATACTCAAAAATCTGTGTGAAGTAAGTAAAGGCTATAGATAAGCTGTGCTTGGAGACCCTCTATCCCCATTTTCCAAAGAGCTGGTAATAAGGAGATGCGCTAGGCAGCAGCAGTGGCCAGACTGTAATGCAGCCCTTGCTTGTTTAGTCCTTCTCATTGCAGAATCACAGAATATTAAAGTTTCTGTTTGATTTTTCTTTTCAACAATATAAGTGGCTGAGGTTAGAGATGTGTGAATGGCTTCCCTCAAATGATAAAGTTACTCAGAATCATCCCAGGTTTAAGCTTGAATTGTTCCAGCGTTCAAACAGTGGTGGGATCATGCTTTGAACAATGCATATCCATACAGGTCTTAAACTGCTTACAGGTGTCCTGCAGACCTTCTCTTTCCTGACATCTGTACTCAAAAGCCTATCTAGGAGAGGCATCGGCATCTGATCCTCAACACAATGCTTGACAACAAAATAAAAAACTTGAGTTCAGAAGCCAAAATAAACCACAGGTCGTCATTCAGAATGCAAAGAAAATGGGCACTAGCTTCTTTGTCAAATATCAGTTCTGTATTTTTTTTTAAAAATCAATTTTGTAATGGTTTCTTATGTTGAAATCAAAAATGAATTGTAGATTTCTCAGAAGTGTTGCTATTAGACATTTCTGATGTCTTAATTTAAGTGCCATTTTAAGTCCTGATAGCAGCATTTCTAGTTTCATGGGCCTGAGAAGCAAGCTTGTATCCCTTACTGGCATGCACTTCCAGTGAGTTTTTCAAAGAGCAAGTTATTAGTACTGTTATTTCCTTTGTCCACATTTGAAACAAGCCCAGAAACTGTAAACAACTGGAAACTATTGCCAACTTCTGTTGTATTAACGATCCTACAATGCAGTTCTCTGTTAAACAACTTGCTTCTAAAAGTCTTAGAGGAGGAATGTGTAATGATGCTTTTAGTGTGCAAAAGCTGCATCTCAGGGTGCTCACAGCAGAGTCAGAGCTGCAGCAGGAGTCCTGTTTCATGTGACACTCACCTTGTTCTCATACGCTTCTACAGTTCTGGCAGTGGTACTTTGACTCTTGATTATTCCCTGCATCCTCAACTCCTCAAGAATGATGGTTTTTGCCTCTCTGTTTCCTCTAAGGGTGATGGTTTACTGATGAACTCATTGGTGAGCAGTGTGTCTTCAAAAGATGTAGACATTAAAACTCAATACTTGTATAGCACTTGGCATTCAAGGAAAGCTTCATGATGTGTTTCCAATGCCAGAGTTTTTGTCTAAGATGTTGCATAGAGTGAGACTGTCCAGTGAAGAAGGCCAGCTGGTGCCTCTCCTCACTGCTTAAAGTTTGCAGTAAACATTTTAGTGGCTTGAAGAATGGTGCAGGTGCCTAGTCCAGTTACACCCAGAGGGGTACATTCTGGAAAGCATGGCAGCTTATGCTGAAGACCTGTGAAGCCAGTTTTTGAGCCTGTTCCCAAAGAGGGTCCATAGGAGCTCTTGGTAGTTTTAATTCTTAAGGATTCTGTGATCTGGTTGAAGAAAGCCAGGCTAGGGTGGTGTAGTACAAGCCTTTTAATGAGCCATGTTGTAAAGATCACTATATTTGTCTGTTAAATAAACCCAAACTTTCATGGATTTTTGTGGTATGTGATTTTTGTTGCAACAGCATTGCTACATTTGCGTCTGATCATAAGCATTTCAACAATTATATATTTATAGACAGCATTAGGACTAAAAAACAAGTTATTTGATAACTCTTCTGAGCGTCTGTTTAGCTTCCACATATTAGACATGAATAAACAATGAGCAACTTTAAGGCCAAGACCCATCGTGTTTTGAAGCCCTCAGCTGACAGTTCTGCCATCTGCCCAGTCTCTATTGGCAGAAGTGAGAGCTCTTGTATGACAAATGCCTGGACCAAATCAAAATTGCAGATATTTGATGTCTGCCAGTCTTCATAAGCAGAGTGAGTATGACAACGTTGTCTTATTTTTCAGTTGTAAAACAAAAATACAGAACATCTACCACTCTGTAGCTGACTCTGTACTGCTCCTAAAATAACCGAACCAGTTACCCAAAAAGCACTGGGGTTCAGCTGTCAGTCAGAGCATGCAAATGTCAGAAGCCAGTATACAGCAAAATGCATTCTGGCAAAAAATAAAAGCAGGATGAGTGGGCAATGCTGACAAGTGATGTGAATTTGTATTGGTTTTACCAATCCATTCAGGAGAAAAATCTGGTTGAAGTATCTTGGTATGGTATGTCTTTTTTTGGTGTTGAAAAAGAAGATTGTAGCATGATCTCAAAACTTTCTGTTTAGAAATTTCCTGTGAAATTATCCTTTAGAAAGTGGGAGGAAAGGGAGGTTAAATGAAACCATTTCAGAACAAGCAAATAATTTTGTTCAATATGAAATAAAATCCTTTCATCACATCCTTCTGTGATATTGGGAGTTAAGTCTTTTTAATGATTATCAAACACCACTAATTACTCTTTTTGTGTTCTATTTAAAATACTTTGTTACAACTTTTATGTATTATAAAGAGTAACCAACCACTGTAGATACTCCATTTAGCGTATTTGTGAAACATAAGGTGTTCACAGCACTTGAAAAATACAAGAGTTAAACTTTGAAATAAGGGGGCTCAAATAAACCAAAAAATGGTGCTGCTTTTCCATTAGCAACTCTTACTGCAATGGTATCCTAAGATTATAGAAAAGTTTGGGTTTAAGTGCTCACTTGCATTTGAAAGAAAAGAATTCTTTGCACACATTTGCTTGTTGCCATGATGATTTCTGGAGTTTTTATGGTTTTTATTTTTTTAATATTATAACCGGCCTTGCAACCTCTGGTTGCAAATGTGAAGAAATAACAGGGTATTTACTTTCTGTCTCTACCTGCTGCTTGTCAGGGCATTGTATTGGCTGCAGTAAAAACTGGCTCATTGTAACACCAGACTGAGAGCCCTCCTGGGGCAACCTCCCTTCCCAATGTACTGTAATCTCAGTTAGAGAGGGCTACCTCTGGGGACAAGGCTGGGTTTGTTCTCCTGGTCTGTTTCAGGCATCTGTCAAGAAAAGTGCAGACCCTGCTTCTTCTTCTGGTAGTGAGGGTTGAGTCATGCTGAAGAACATAATCATCAGCTACTCTGTGTTACTATGGCATGGTTTTAAACCAGTGCTAAGAGCTCAGTCTGCATGGTGTCACAGTATGAACAATTCCTAGTGTGGAAGTTGGCTGTAGCAATAGAACTTCAAGATTATTTCCTCCTAGATCTGTGTTTGTGAAGCTGTTACGAGCTTCACTTATTGTTAACCTGTGCTTGGGTTATCTGAAAAGAAGTAAATCTTCATCGTGGCTCCTCGGGGTAGATTTTCTCACTTGTCTCATCTTCAAGTTTGGCTCTATTCTTCAAAGTCCCTTTTAGTCAAGCTGCCCCAACCTGTGAGGGTCTCTCTCTGTTCCATCAATGCTGTCATTTCTAGTCTACAGCAAGATCAAGAAACAAATGAGAAAAGTTCCTTGGACTTCTAAACATGTAAGGAGCTATCTAGACTATTCCTATAGAACTGTGAGGTTCAGAGTACAGTGGAAGACAGAGGCATTCCTGATCTTATCCATGTTCTGTCACAGGTGGATGGTGAGTGAAGGTCTCTTGGACCATTTCAAAATTCATTTTTTATTTACCAATTTCAAAACAAAGCATAACTTTAAGCTTAAATGTGGCCACAATCCATTTGACTCTATTGAGAGTATTGTTTCAGTACTTTAAGGGCCTTCTGTGTGCAGAACATTGGTTACAAATTTAATACTGAGTTTTAAATTAGCACTTGGTAAGGTGTTAGCCTGTGCACCTTCTAAGCAATAGCTTTGAACCTCCTAATAATGGAGGATTAGAGCCTAGATGTTATTTGTCTCTTCTCTGGATGTTTGGGCTTAAGCCAACTCAACTTTCTAAGCTTCACAAAGTGGCTTCACATATATACATATATATATATATATATACACACACAATATTTGTACATAATATTTATACATACATATATACACACATAATATTTGCATCTATATAAGCCCCCTGCCTCAAAATAACTTTTTGAGGCAAAATCCACCTTGCTGCAGTGTTGTAATGAAAAAATTCATCACTGGTGTTAGAGATAAATGTCTATAATTGTATCTTTAATGAGGCAAGTGGGACAGACTGTGAAAATCAACTTTTCAGGTGCTTTGAAATCAGATCATGCATGTGGCCAAATGGTGAATCTGCTTTCCCTGTAGCAGAAGGATTGCACGGAGCTGAGTGACTGACAGCCTTTCTCCTTAACAGCTCCCTGACAGAGCCAGAGCTACCCCTAACATCAGCAAAACCATGTTTCTGTGTGCCCATGTCCTCCTGGTACACTCGTGTGCTAAAGCATCTCCTAATGTATTTCAGACAGAGTCCATGGGGAAAGAGGGCACCACCTGGCTTTTGACTCCCTGGTTGTTCTGTAGGCCCTCAGAAGGCAGCTCTGCCACTGCAGCCTGGATAGAAATGTTGTAGCCCAGGGTGAAGTTGTGACCATCTGCTCCTTGCTGCAAGTTCAGGGATTAGGAATGCCAAAGTCTTCCTTGAGAGCCTGGTTATTTGTTATCACCATGGAGTCTAACTGTTGCCAGGGCCTGTTTCTACAATAAATAACTCCACAGAAAGCTTTCTGCTTATGTCCTGGCATACAGACATCACTGTCCTTGTCCAGATCCTCCTCTCAGAAGATGAGAGGGAGTATGTTTCGTCTGTTGAGCTGGGATGCTGGTCTTGGAGTCCCAAGTCTCTATAGGGCATTCAGGGTGTTAGTGAGCCTCCAGTGGGAACTCAAGCAGTTTGATGAACAAGATACTGTCATGTAAAACACACATATTTCAATGTCTGGTTGAATTTGTTAAGTATACTTCAACACCATTAGCCATGGAAAAAGATCAGTTCTAAATCTGGGATTTCAGGCAGTAAGGCAAGCTTCTAAATGAGAGAAAATGACATCGGGAGACAGGGACAGGCTAGGGAAAATGTTTTAAGCATCCTTTGAGATCATTGTACAATTTCTTGATTACTGTTTGAGTCTGTTCACATCCTTAGAAGTAGATGTCTGTAGGAGATTTTAAAAAAGAAAAAAGCAGCCATAGTTTATGCTTTCAAGAGGTTGTTATAAAAGATAGCCGAGAAATGTTAAGTCAGTGCTGTCAGTAGAAGATCATGACTTGGGTCACTTGTGCTAGCATCATCAGCTAGTTATAGTTAGGAGAAAGAGCATATTTTCCCCCCAAATATTTACATGAAAGACTCTCTGTATGAACTAAGGATTCAAAACCTTTTGAAGGGGAGCAAAAGCTCAAGTAATTGTTAATAACAATGAGGAATTTTTTTTTTTTAACTTCCTGGGACCCTGGTAACAAATTAGTATCACTTTATGACCTTACTCTGACTTGTGGCAACATTTCTTTAAAACTTGTCATATTTTCTGTGTATTTATGAGAAACTGAGATGTTTACATGACTAATGCCTCTTTTAAATAGTAAGGCCAGTGGACTTTCAGAATCGAATGAACCCCCCTGCTGAGACAGTGTGACTCCAGCCTAAGAGATCACTCTGGCCGGCTGGCTGCAGGCAGCCTTCTGCATTCCTCTTGTCTCCAGTCCAAGCTCTCAGCTGCTCTGCTTGGAAAGCTGAATAAACTCATTTGCATGGCAGGGAGCCTGAAGTGATCTTCCCTGCCCCAGAGCGCCCTGCCTGACTGTGCAAAGCGCTGCCTTAAGGTTCCTGCAGGGCTCCCAGGTTCTCTCTAGGCAGTGCCTGTGCCGAGCCCGGAGCACGCGTGTGGCTGTACCTACCTGCGCCGGCCTCCTGGTGCTGCAAGGCACTCAAATGTGCACCTGCTGTCCCTCGAGAAACAGCTGTCTTCCAAGACATCTTGTTCCTTTCTCATCCCTGATCAACAGGGACTTGACTCTTGTGTTCAGTCTGAATGCACACAGAATGCAAGTCAAGTAACCTTTTGGTGTGTGGGTATTTTGTTGTTGCTGCTGTTCTTTCTTCTCTCTTTAGCAGATGTTTGGAGATTGCATGTGGTAATGCCGAAATGTGATTGATGCTTGATGAAGGGCAGAACAGGATGTACAGGTTGAGCTTCTTGTTTGCATTTCTGATTAAATGCTTGCTGTGGTGGTGCAGTTCTAAAACTTGGTTTTAAGTAAATAATAGATTAAAATTTCATCTTTTA